ACCCGGTACCTACGAAAACTTATTTTCCAATTTGCAAGGTTCACATACTCAAGTGATAAAATCATACAACTTTATATATATATATATATATATTGCATATAACATTTGTTTTGATGCACTGTCTTTTCTGAGTCCTGGGCCTGCAGCTTTTCTCAAAATGGAATCTAGCCTTGAAGATTGTCGCCATATTTTCTATCAGAATGTTTCTTTTCAGTGACACTGCCCTGTTTCGGTGCAATGCAACCACTTCTTCTTTTTCTTCAGGGCGTAGAGGATTATGGCTCTCCACAATATCCTGTCTCTTCATAATTTTTGTCTTTCCGATATTTCTTTTAAACCCTGTTCCATTAACTATTCACTGAATTTCACTAAGTATGTTATACGTTGTTTTCTACTGTCCCTCTTGCCTTCAATCTGTCCTGTGAGTGTCAAATTTTCCAAGCCCTCTTTCCCTATTTCGTGTCCTAGAAATTTCAACTGCCTCTTCTTGCTGTTAATGTTTTCTTTTTCTTTCCATTTTCTCTAAAACTTCGTCGTTGCTCGCATGTTTGATCCATGGTATCCTCACTATCCTTCTGTAGAACAACATTTCTATTGCTTTAATTATGTTTTTCATCTTTGATGAGATTGTCCAGTACTCACAACCATGCAAGAGGACAGATACCATCTAACAGTTTAGTACACTTTTCCTTATTCCTAGCGAAGTTTTTCTATTTCTTAATACTCTGCTTAGCTTTTGGAAAGCATCTTTCACTCAAACATCGGAGACTAACTTTCTATATACCACACGTTATCTTGCGGAATATATACCTCAATATGTTTGAGAATTTTTTTGGCAAACTGTGGTTTATACTGCAACTATGCTGAGCAGATCTTAGTTACAGCTTCTGGGAGAGGGATCGCCTAATCTGTCAATTTTAATCTCAACAACGATAGTACGCTTAACCTCTCGGTCACGATGACTTGTGACTTCATGCTAGCATAGCCATCGACATCTTCCAAACTGCTGCGTCTACCCGATTTCCTTCACAAGGCTTGGGTTAACTCCTACTATGGTTTCCCCAGTCACATTTCAACGGAGCCACACCCTGGAATTGCCTACCCAGCTCGATAACATCAATCAGTTAACTCCAGGACGAATCGAACATAGTGAGTTTTGAAAGCGGTTCTCATGGTTGGAAAGCGAACGGCATCCTAACCACTCGGCCACGCAACATTATTAGATCGATATAGAACTCTAAAGCATTTGTTTTTGGCCGTTTCATGCCTTAAGCGATCAGCTAACAAAGGCCTGAGGTTAACATGACAGTGTTGATAGGGCTGACGGCTGGTTAATAGAACGTTGATTTCTGCATCCACACTATTAATTTTTACGAACGCTCTATCTTGTTCTTTTTTTAAGCAAGGTGATGAAGCCACTAAGACGCAAGGAAAACAAAATGAAAGTGAAAGAAAGTGAGACTATATATCTTGACTGTATATTCACTTAAATAATGTTCACTCTTCTCATATAGGAAGAAAATAAGTGCATCCAGGACATTTGCCGTAAACATTTTTGCCGAAGCGCCCCAGGAATTTTCGCCGTATGGAATTTCGCCGTATAGAATTTTTAACGTAATAAGATTTCGCCGCATTTTTTTTCGTATATTTCAATATTTAGGATCTGTCTATATTTCTGAGATGAGGTATTATGTACACTATTTACATTATTCGGACTATTGTCCTCATCTTTGTCGCCATGTTTATTACAACGTTTCGGCCTTTCAGTATCTGTCTATATTTCTGAGATGAAGTATTATGTACACTATTTAAATTATTCGGACTATTGTCCTCATCTTTGTCGCCATATTTATTACAACGTTTCGGCCGTTGTACGCTCTTCAGGTGATTGGAATGTCGAACTGAACCCTTTATTTCACTCACTGGAGTAGACTGTTCTAGTTCCATGTTTAATGGATGTCAGTTGTCAGTTGTCTCCTGTTAATTTCCCTCTGAAAGTTCTCCACTGCCTAGTTCGACGTGCCATGTTTAATGGATGTCAGTTATCAGTTATCGCCTGTTAATTTCTGAAAGTTCTCCACTGCCTTAACCGGGTATTGAACTCACACTCATTGGGTCTTGTCACTGGATCTAACCAACGACTTTAGCTACTGTGCCATGTATCCTTGAGGACATCTGCGTATGAATTTCTAGGTATTATAAACCTAATGTCATCAACAACTATTTTTTACCAGTAATATGGACTGCCAGAGAAAGCGATAATAACTTCAGAAATTTCAATATGAGCTCTGTTAAAAACATCTAATAACAGCAAAAACTGCAATATGAGAATCTTTCTTTGATCAGATATTTTATATTGAAGTTGCTTGCGTATTCAAGATGTAAGTTTGTTTGAAATAATATATATTGCTTCGTTTATTAAAATGTCCAAATCGGAGTAACAATAGTGTGAGCCAGATATACTTGAAAATTTTTGCTTCGCATATTCAAAAAAAATAATGCGAAATTGTCTTACGGCAAAGTTTTCTATGGCGAAAATTCCTGAGGCGAGTTTCCCTACTGCAAAAATGTTTACGGCGAATGTTCCGTGAACCGAAAATGAGTAACTACTGACAACGAGATTCGAGCGTGACACTCTGAAATTATGAATATATGTTTTCCGCCAGGTGTCTAAATAGCGGTGTCAGGCTAGAGTGATTATTGAGTGGAACTATCCAGTCGAATTACTGTGAATCATTGTGCGTTGATAATTTGTGTTTTGATTTAGGATTTACCGGACGTTAAATCGAGCTGCGCTTCTAACAAGGTATTTACTTAAATGGTTAATTATCTTTGGTTGGCTTTTATTTCTTTGTTTTTGTTAAGTCTTTATCTGCGGTTGTAATAAAAAAAATACTGTGTTTTATTGTAACAGTGAAGTCTTGAGTTATACTTAATTATTAACCACCACCGTACGTCACAAAAAAATGTTTACAAAGTCCAGGAGCCGATCGAGGTACAGGGTTATGTTAGGGCAATTGCAATTTGATGATATATAGAAATGTGGAAGATAAACATGATGTTAAGAAATGGAGTCTTTTTATTGCAAATCCGACAATTTATTTAATAAAGACATTTTTATTAAATTTATGTTTAATTTTGTTATTTTTTTTGCCTTAGATACAAGTATTTAAGCAAATGCTCTGTTTATGATAAACAGTATTAAATAACATTTACCGGTTTGAATGTCCGAGAAATTTTTCATATAGAAAATATTCTTTCATAAACAAATTATAAACCTTATCCTAAAACGGAATTTATCATATACATTTGATATTTGTTTACATTCGATACGCCAGAGCAGTTATGAATGTACGAGATTCATGGAAGATTTAGTTTATAACACAATAAATTCGACCTTGTCTACCATAAGGTTCATGGTGGCCGAGTGGTAAAGGCACGTCAGCGTATATGACGGTTCCGTATAGGATGCAGGTTCGAATCCTGTCTATGAACGAATATTTTTTATGAAAATTTCTCGGACATTCAGGCCGGTAAATGTTATTTAATACTGTTTATCATAAATTTTTATTTGCTTAAATACTTGTATCTATAAAAATAACAACGTTAAACATAAAAATATTTAAAAAATGTCTATTAATAAATAATATATTATATATGCCTTTAAAATTTAAAATATTAGTGATCGGCAAATATATATTTTTTGGAGAAAAATGAGCAACAGTTCACGGGGATTAAGCTGTTATAGTGGAACATACTTCTCACTAATGGAATACGGGGGGAACGTGGGTGGTTTGCTACAATGTGAGTGGCATGGCGGGTCTGAGCCGTAAAAGGTCAGGTTTGGCATTCATGAAATTTAAGTTTTATGAGAAAACTTTCCATGCAAGTCAATTGCCTCGTCCACTGCAAGGAAATTTGGCTCCCTGAAATATATAAAAGGAAATGTTTTTTTTTCTCCCGGTGTCGATCTCCAGATCTACAAATCCACAATTCGCCCTTGCATGGAGTATTGCTGCCATATATGGTCTGGAGCCCTTCTGTTTGCCTCGGGGTTCTTGATAGGCTCCAGAGGCGGATATGCAATAATATAATGGTTGGCCCTACTCTGGCATCTCGTCTACAGTCACTTTCTCACAGACGCGCCGTCGCCTCTCTCTGTCTGTTTTACAAATACTTTCATGGTAATTGCTCCGAGGAGCTGCATTCGCTGGTTCCCAGACTTCATGAGTTCAAGCGCCCTACGAGGCTGGCATCCTGCTCACCCCTTCACTGTCGAAACTCCTAAATGTAGCCGTCTCTTCTACTCTAATAGCTTCATGTCTCGCACCTCTCGCCTGTGGAACTCCTTCCCTTTCCTGTTTCCCTGTGAGCTATAATCTCCAGCTATTCAAGTGTAATGTCAATCGACATCTCCAGTTGCCTTGATCTATCCACTACCCTCATCCTTTCTTCTATCACTCCTATCTGATCTTGCTCTAAATTTTCTGTAACCCCTTGCGTCCTAGTGGCTTCCCGCCTTTATTTGGGGTGAAATGCTTAAAAAAAGATGCTTGCCACTGCCGCCTGTGGGAGAGAAGTTGGAGGTTGGCGAATAATTTGTCACACACAAGGGCTTGGAGACGCTTTTGGAGTCTATCAAGGCTGGAGAATGAGGCCCGGGCATAAATATTCGATAAATCTTATTAAAGAAAAATATGCCATCTCCGGAAAGATTCGATCATGCGTCGCCCTAGACATAATTTTTATTTGTTAAGACCAATTTTTTCTTCCGAAAGGAAGTTTAAATTTTAAAATGTTATATTTTTTTAAGGTGGGAAAACGACCCCCCTGTTTAAAGGAAATCTTAAAATAATAATAATAAGTAAATATAATTTAAGAGATCGCAAATTTAAATGTATATAAAAAAAATATAAATAAACAAACATGCACGTCACACCCTCGCCTACGTCACAACACTTTTGTTCTGTCACTACACTTACCAGTTCTACGAAACTCACCGCTTGAGACTGAGATAGATAGATAGATAGATAGATAGATAGATAGATAGATAGATAGATATGATCAAACTGAATTAGATAGTTACCTAGAGAGGAAGAGACTGAGATAGATAGATAGATAGATAGATAGATAGATGCATAGATAGATAGATAGATAGATAGATAGATATATAATTATTAGTTAGAGAGCTGAATAAAGGAGGAAGAGACTGAGATAGATTTTAGATTTTAGATAGATAGATGATAGATAGATAAAATAGATTTATCAAAGATAAAGAAATCATAAGACAGATAGATAGATAGAATATATCATAAAAAAGAAATTTTTGATAATAAGATGAATAGATAGATAGATAGATAAAATAGATAGATAGATAGATAGATAGATAGATAGATAATTAATTGAATGAGATAGATTTTAATTAATTGAATTTTTAATAGATAGATTAGATAGATAGATAGATAGAATAGATAGATAGATAGAATAGATAGATAGATAGATTTTGATTTTTGAACCAATAGACAATTATTATTTTTGCTATTTAACTTCTAAATGATTTACTTTTACAATTTTATCTTTTTAGTCATTCAGCTTATCGAAAAAATATACATGCAAGGAGATATATAATTATTATTTTAAACAATGTTAATATCAACAGTATATATTGATAAATAAATGTTATAAATTATAGAACATGCCGTCTACGAAAACAACAAATAACATTATCCAACTAATTTAATTACCACAATTTGCGGCATAAGTTATTCTTATCATTTCGTTATTGAAGCGTTTGCTTGATAAAAATATATTTCAATTTAGTTTTCCAAATGCAAGGAGCCTAGTCATATATAGTGAAGTCCGCTATAGATTCAAATAAACGAACATAGATAGATAGATAGATAGATAGATAGATAGATAGATAGATAGATAGATATAAACAAACTTAGAGAGCTAGATAGCGAGGAAGAGATTTTTTTAGATAGATAGATGGATAGATAATAAATAGATATCATTTAAATAAATTACAATAGATAAGATAGATAGATAGATAGACAATGTATATGTAGATATATAAATAGATTTAAAAATTTAAATAAATTCGATAGATAAATAGATAGATAGATAGATAGATAGATAGATAGATAAATATAGATAGATAGATAGAAGAAACAATTTAAGAGATTTATTAACAGATAAATAGATAGATGAATAGATAGATAGATAGATAGATAGATAGATAGATAGATAGATATCATTTAAATAAATTTGATAGATAGATAGATAGATAAATGATAGATAGATATTTGATATCAAAAAAAACTTATTATTAGATAGATAGATAGATAGATAGATAGATAGATAATGGATAGATAGATAGATAGATAGATAGATAGATAATTTAAAAAGTTTACGATAGATAAAAAAAAGATATCATTTAAATAAATTTAAAACGATAAATAGATAGAATAGATAGATGATAGGAATCATTTAAAGAAAAATTACGACAGATAGATAGATACATATATAGATAGATAGATAGATATGGATAGATAGATAGATAGATTCAATAAATATTCGTTTTTTAAAGAAATTAAAAAAGATAGATAGATAGATAGATAGATAGATTTGATGGATAAATAGATAGATAGATATCATTTAAAGAAATTACGATAGATAGATAGATAGATAGATAGATAGATAGATAGATAGATAGATAGATAGATATCATTTAAAGAAATTACAACAGATAGATAGATAGATAGATAGATAGATAGATAGATAGATAGATATCATTTAAAGAAATTAAGATAGATAGATAAAAAGATATCATTTAAAGAAATTACGACAGACAGACTGATAGATAGATAGGTATCATTTAAAGAAATTACGATAGATAGATGGATAGATAGATAGATATCATTTAAAGAAATTACGATAGATACATATAGATATCATTTAAATAAATTACGACAGACAGACAGATAGATACATAGGTATCATTTAAAGAAATTAAGATAGATAGATAGATAGATAGATAGATAGATAGATAGAAAGAAAAACACTCATATTGAACATTCATTTACTATACGTGATCATTTAATGTTCACTTTCCTTTCCTCCTCCTCTTTCTTTTTAATTCTCTCATTTTCTCACCCATATATATTTATATATTTTATAGGTATATCCGTGTCTTTTGTGGGGTTCAACCCCCTTCAAGTTTGAAATCGATACCGCGGACCAACAAATCTCAAATTTTTAACTTTAAAAGAATACTAAGTTATTTATTTTAAATGAAAACTCGGGTCCCGGGGCAAATTTCAAAGATAAAGTGTTAATTATTTTTATTTTATGCAGATTGATGTTGGCTTATTTAAAATTTTCCAATTACACATAATAAATTATAACAAGTCAATTGACAAGGAAGACATTCAAAAGATGCGAAAGAAAAGGGCCAGGCCTTCGCCGGTCGTATCTGTAAGTTTGAGACGATGTCAAAATCAATTTTAATAAAAAATAATAGAAAGGAATGCCTGAATGTAAGAGATGATTAGAAAAAGGATTTAAGTGAGGGATGGAAGGAAAAGAAAAAGAAAGGAAGGAATAGAATGCGTTGAGGTTGAAAGAGAGAAAAGAACGGGGTGGGGGGAGATGCAGAATAAAAAAAGAATCACAATGAGGAGAGGAAGAATAATAGAATAAAATGAAAGATAAAAAAGTGCACAAAAATGAAAGAAAAACAACGAAATACGGAAGAAAGAAAGAAAAGAAAGAAAGAAAGAAAGAAAGAAAGAAAGAAAGAAAGAAAGAAAAAAAGAAAGAAGGTGAAAGAGAATAAATATTAATAAAGATTAATAAAAATTAAATGAAAATGAACGATAGCTGGGGAAATTTAGGAAATTAACAATAATGTTCTTAACGAAGAAAGAAAGAAAATAATAAATGAAAGATCGTACGAAAGAGAAAGAAGAAGAAAAGAACAGATAAAACAAAAGGAAATAAGAAAGAAAGAAAGAAAGAAAGAAAGAAAGAAGAAAAGAAAACAGAAAGAAAGAAAGAAAGAAAGAAACAGAGAAACAGAGAAATTTGAATGAAAATAGAAAGAAACAAACAAGGAATGAAAGGAAAGAAAAAATTTTTTATTCTTTAAAGAATGCGAATTAGAAAGAAAAAAAAAAATGAAAAAAACAAAAAAAGAAAGAAAGAAAAAAAGTAAAGAAAGAAAAAAAAAAAAAAATTTTAAAGAAAGATTAAAATGAAGGAAGAAAGGAAATGTTGAGAGGAGGGTTGAAAGAAGGAAAAATTGAGAGGACGATTGAATGAAAAAAAAAAAACATTTAAACAATGAATGAATGAATGAAAGAAAAAAAAAAAAAAGAAAAGAAAAAAGAAAGAAAGAAAAGAAAGAAAGAAAGAAAGAAAAAAAAAAAAAAAAGAATTAAAAGAGAAGAAAAAGATTAATAAAAATTAAATGAAAATGTGAACGAAAGCTGGGGAAATTTAGGAAATTAACAATTTGTTCTTAATAAAGAAAGAAAGAAAAAATAATAAGTAAAAGGAAATAAAAAAAGAAAAAAGAAGAAGAAGAAGAAGGAAAAGAAAGAAAGAAAGAAAGAAGAAGAAGAAGAAGAAGAAGAAGAAGAAGAGGAACAGATAAAACAGAAGAAAGAAAGAAAGAAAGAAAGAAAGAAAGAAAGAAAGAAAGATAGAAAGAAAGAAAGAAAAAAGAAAGAAAGAAAGAAATTTGAATTAAAATAGAAAGAAAGAAACAAGGAATGAAAGGAAAGAAAAAAGAAGTTTATTCTTTCAAGAATGCGAAGATAGATACATAAAGAGATATTAATACAATGTAAGAAAAAAAATGACAGAAAATAAATAAATAAATAAATAAAGAAAGAAAGAAAGAAAGAAAGAAAGAAAGAAAGAAAGAAAGAAAAATTAAAACGAAGGAAGAAAGAAAATGTTGAGAGGAGGATTGAAAGAAAGAAAGATTGAGAGGACGATTGAATGAAAAAAGAAACCAGCTAACAATGAATGAATGAATGAATGAATGGTAGAAAAGAAAGAAAGAAAGAAAGAAAAAAGAAAGAAAGAAAGAAAGAAAGAAGATTATTCTTTCTGGAATGCGGAGATGGATACGTAGACAAATAGGAATACAAAGTAAGAAAAATTAATTAATGAAAGACATAAAGTAAGAAATAACGTTAAAAAGAAGAAAGTGTGTGTTGAGAGGAAAGTTGAAAGAAAGAAAGAAAGAAAGAATAGATAGATAGATAGATAGATAGAAGATAGATAGATAGATAGATAGATAGATAGATAGATTGCAGAGGAATGAGGAAGAACAATATTGTCCGGATCCACCGTATATCAATCCAGTCTTTTCTTTGCCCATTTGTAACAATCCCAGTCACTATCTAAACACCGACCATGATAGACAACACCGTCTTACGGAGTGAAGTCTTGGTGGGATACAAAACTCTGATAGGGTCATTGTAATGTCTGCACGTAAACCAAACACAGAACAATGTAATGATGGACAACGAAGAAGTCGATAATGCGAGAACTGATGACCCACACCCAGCATTCCCCAGGAAAAACAAGCTTGATAAATTAGACTGACCCGGGGCTGGCCAGCATTGTTTCTAAGTGCCTTGTCTGTCGGCAGGTTAGAAACAGACAGACGAACCTGAATTATTCATTATACGGTCGATTACCGAAAATTCATGGAAGGTTTTATCTCACGTTTGAACCTGAAAAAGTAACAGGATAAATTATGGTGAATTTTGCTCTATACATGTATTCTTCCGGATAAGAACTAACATTAGTAGCCGCAGACTGACTTTTATATCTGAGCCGCAGAGTCCACTTACTGCCGTAGATTAACGGCATGAGTAGAAAAATAAAAATAAAGATGGAAGTGAATATTAGTCAAAATGCATAATAATGGTTGACAAAACTTCATTTCATAAAAATAGTGATAAAAAAACAAGTAAAAATAAAGATGAAAGCAAATATTAGTCAAAATGAATAATAATTGTTGACAAAACTTCATTCCATAAAAATAGTTATAAAAAACAAGTAAAAATAAAGATGAAAGCAAATATTAGTCAAAATGAATAATGGTTGACAAAACTTCATTCCATACAAATGGTGATAAAAAGCAAGTAAAAATAAAGATGAAAGCAAATATTAGTCAAAATGAATAATAATGGTTGACAAAACTTCATTTCATAAAAATAGTTATAAAAACAAGTAAAAATAAAGATGTAAGCAAATATTAGTCAAAATGAATAATAATGGTTGACAAAACTACATTTCATAAAAATAGTGATAAGAAGAAAATAAAAATGAGCATGAAAGTAAATACTAGAGAAAATTAATAATAATGGTTGACAATGTTTCATTTCTTGACAATAGTCATCAAAAGCAAATAAAAATAAAGATGGAAGTGAATACTAGTCAAAATGAATAGTAATCGTTGACAATGCTTCATTTCAAATAATGAAGATGACAGTAAATATTAGTCAAAATGAATAATAAATATTAACAATGCTGCATTTAATAAAAATAGTGATAAAAAAAGCAAGTAAAAATGAAGATGAAATTAAATACTTGTCAAAATGAATAATAATACTTCACAATGCTTCATTTAACAAAAATAGTGATAAAAAACAAGTAAAAATAAAGGATGGGAGTAAATAATTGTAAAAATGAATAATAATGGCCGACAATGTTTCATTTCATAGAAATAGTGATAAAAAGCAAGTAAAAATGAAGATGAAAATAAATACTCAAAGTGAATAATAATAATGTGTTCATCATGTGGCGTGTGTTGAGCGTCTAACCTGACGGAGCCTATCCTTCTCTAGTTTCTATTTTTACAAAAATTATATCTTGACTTCTTCTTCTTCTCTCGCCCTTAATTCTTTAAGGAGTCGTTGGGGAGCCGACGTGCTGAGCAGTCCACCATTTTCCTCCATCTGTCGTTGTCTCCCCGAACGGTGACTTGATGTGTTCATCATGTGGCGTGTCTTGGACGTCTAACCTGGCGGAGTCTATCCATCTCCAGTTTCTATGATCACAAATATCAAATTAGACCACAAATGGAGTATTGCTCTAATATCTTGACTTCTTTTGCCCTTAAATCCCTTAAGGAGTCGTTGGAGGAGACGACGTGCTGAGTAGTGCAACATTCTCCTCCATCTGTTTTTGTTGTGTGCCAGAGCCCAGGTCTCTCCGAACAGCGTCTTGATGTGTTCATCATGTGGCGTGTCTTGGGCATCTAACCTGGTGAAGCCTAACCTTCTCCAGTTGCTATCTTTACAAAAATCAAATTAGACCATAAATGGAGTATTACGATCATATTTTGACTTCTTCTTCTTCTTCTTCTTCTTCTTCTTCTTCTTCTTCTTCTTCTTCTTCTTCTTCTTCTTTCGGATAATATTTAAGGAGTCGTTTTGGCGCCGATATGCTGAGCTCCCCACCATTCTCCTATGTCTGTCTTAGTTATATGCCCGAATATAAACAGAATATATATATATATATATATATATATATAGATAATATTAGTGGAAAATATACATACATATGAAAAATATATCTAAAAAATTCCCATACATGTATATTTTCAGAAAAAAAAAAAAAATTTTCCAAGAGGAAGGATCCAGGTAGAACTCAATGTCTAAGACAGAGTAAGGATATAATAAAAAATTTAAACACTAATATTCCATGGTCATAATTTATTCCATTGAAAAATCCGATCAAATCAAAAAATTTTTTGATTTCCGGAGTTGTTTTTTCTAACAAAATTTTGAATTTGTAGGTCTGATGATTTGATCGTATTTACGATTCCAATGAAATAAATTATGACCATGGAATATTAGTGTTTATTTTTATTATATATATATATATATATATATATATATATATATATATATATATATATATGTTTTGGAAGTGGATGAGTGTAACCTAAAACTTTCCATTTTTCAGAAGTTTTTAAGTTGTTTACGATGGCTTTATTACATAAATTCCATTTCACCTGTTCAAGCTAATGTATTCTCAGAATCCTTCTGTAGCACCACATTTATATCGCCTGAAGTTTCATCTTCATCTGTGTGATAATGGTCCATCATTCACTGCCATATATGATAAATGATGTGACATAATGGATCCTGTTTTGTTTTTGACTGCCTGTGACATTTTGTGCACTTTGCCTCATCGGCATACCGAAAATTTAAAAGTGTCTCGAGGCAATAGAAATGTGTGGCGACAAAATGAAGCAGATAATACAATGGACTGAACATGTGAATAACGACGAAGTTTTCTTTTTTTTTTTAGATAATTCTACGCTCATGCAAGGCGATAAAGCCACTAATACTCAAGACATTACTGGAGATAAAAGACAATACAGTAAAGGAATCTGTGGAGAAAGGACAATAAAAAGAACACGGTTCAAGGCCACAGAAGAGGACGACTGATGATGCATTTAAATTTTTGAAGAATGTAGTTGACAGGAAAGCAAGAAGCTGGGAAGAAATGTTAATTATTGTCTTCACGTGGCCGATGTTGGCTTCCGTCTGTCCTACCAATTGTGTTGTATGCAATTACACAAGTCAAGTGACGGAGGAACACATTTGAAAGATGCCTCGATTCAAAGGGCCAGGCCTTCGCCGGTCGTGCGTGTAAGTTTGAGACGATGTCTCATCGAGTTTTGCCAAATAATACTCAAGGAATGATGAGATGTGATGATTAGAAAAAGGATTTTTGGTGAGGGATGGAAGGAAAAGAAAAAGAAAGGAAGGAATAGAATGCGTTGAGGTTGAAAGAGAGAATAGAATGGGGTGGAGGGGGGAGATGCAGAATAAAAAGAAGAATCACAATGAGGAAAGGAAGAATAAGTAAATGAAAGATAAAAAGGTGCACGAAAATGAAAGAAAAACAACGAAATACGGGAGAAAGAAAGAAAGAAAGAAAGAAAGAAAGAAAGAAAGAAAGAAAGAAAGAAAGAAAGTGAAAATGAATTAAGATAAATCAAAATTTAAATTGAAAATGAACGAAAAATGGGGAAATTTAAGAAATTAACACAAATGTTCTTAACAAATAAAGAAAATAATAAATTAAAGATCATACGAGAGAGAAAGAAGAACAGATAAAACAGAAGGAAATAAGAAAGAAAGAAAGAAAGAAAAAAGAAAGAAAGAGAGAAAAATTGAATGAAAAAAGAACGAATGAATGATAGTAAAGAAAGAAAGAAAAAGAAGAAAGAACGAAAGAAAGAAAAAGAAAAAAGAAAGAACGAAAGAAAGAAAGAAGTTTATTCTTTCTAGAATGCGAAGACAGATCCATAAACAGATATTAATACAAAGAAAGAAAGAAAGAAAGAAAGAAAGAAAGAAAGAAAAAAAGAAAGAGAAGAAGGAAATGCTGAGAGTAGGGTTGAAAGAAAGAAAAATTGAGACTACGATTAAATGAAAAAAGAAACAAACAATGAATGAATGATTGGTAGAAAGAAAGAAAGAAAGAAAGAAAGAAAAAAGAAAGAAAGAACGCGTAAAAGAATAAAGATCAATAACAAATTCAATGAAGAGGAACGAAAGATGGCGAAATTTAAAAATGAACAAGATTCACGTACATAGAAGATGACGATTGGCGAGGCATTTACATATTTGAAGAGAGTAGTTAAACTATTACAATAGAACTTATAACTACATTTGCCAATTTCAACTGTAAAAAATGAGACCTAACTGCCAATCTAGTACTACAGGATCATTAGCTCCCTAATTTATGTAAGAGTGGCCAACCAAGAGTCCTGACCTAATAACCTGCGACTTTTTACTTTGGGGTTGGTTAAAGGAGTAAGTCTACTATATCAAACGAAGACTTTGAAGGACTTGAAGGGCGAATACAAGAAGTTAGGTTTTCCATACCACAAGAGTTCCTGGTGAAATCAGTTGACGCGATTTCTGGGCGGCTCAAGAACGGGGAGCGAAATCTGGTGCCCATATCTAATTTTACATAAAACCTCATGCTAAGCGCTTTCCTCTTATTTATTGTTAATAAATTTCAAGTCTTTTAAAAGAGGGGGGGTTACTTTTCAATCACCCTGTACGCTTAAATTCATGAAGTTGGGCTATCAAAGAGGAAAGCTCATCAGAACAATTGCCGTAAAAACATTTATAGAAAGGGACCAGAGAATCTACGTTACGGCGGTGGTAAAATGATTAAAGCTGTGATGCCAGGTTGCAACGAATAATATTGCAGATTCTCATTTGGATTTTGTCCAGAATCTCAAGATACATAACTGTTATGGTCCGGTTCCTTGTACCACGGTGGTAGTCCAAGGTAGAACCAATAAAGAAGAACTCGAACACAGGTATGGAATAACACAGA